GGTTAGCGATAGCAGGCCTCAGGCGTATATAGACACTTCCCGGATTGTGCGCATGTTAAGACCCGAGCCCATATGGTTACGTGCCTCGGCAGAGCCTTCTTAGAGGCTCTACCATAGAGTCCACAGTAATACCTGTTCTTTCAAAAAAACACATTTTTTCTCCGAGTACGTCTACTGGGACCCCTCGCCGACCACAACCTAAATGCCGCTGGACAGTATTCCTATCGTGACTGTCTAGTGCATTCATAATACTACTCCCATGTCCACGACAGCAGCGATGTTTCAGGGCGTCTTCTACCAGAGAATCCTACCAGATGATGAGCCCGCAGTATGCAGTATGGAAGGACGACGACGACTCAGTGAAGCTACAGCCGATGGTCATGCATATCCGTTCCTCCCCCTCATGTGCCAATTCAAGACACAGGTACAACACTTGCTATCAACAACCCTTCCTGAACAGCCCATCAGGACCAACCCGCGTACTGTGGCCTTACTACCCTCATTATGACCCTCAACACTCTAGGAATTGACCCTTGGAGGACCTGGAAGGGAGTTTGGCGATGGTACCATTTGGGAGTGAAAGCTCACTCACGTCTTAGGCGTATGTGTAAGAGTCTCCTGATAATCAAAGGTGTATGTAAAATTAAAATAAAAGCGAGTAAAATCTCCTTAGGCGTATGTGTAAGAGTCTTCTGATAATCAAAGGCGTATGTAAAATTAAAATAGAAGCGAGTAAAATCTCCTTAGGCGTATGTGTAAGAGTCTTCTGATAATCAAAGTTAATTCTACCTCTGCAGTAAGAGGCGTACGAAAGAACAAATTTCCGAAGGCGTGTACTTCACAACGTCCAAACTGGTATTTCATATTCGTCACTATAGGTACGATGAGCATCATCTCGGTGCATGCTGTATCGACTTGGACGAGGTTGCTTCTGAGGGTATCTCCATCGACACTTTCGCGTGCCTGGCGCGATGTAATGGTCTCGGTGCGCATGTCTACAGGCCGCCCCTTGTAAGGAGTATTCTAGTATTGTTGTTGTTGTCACTAAATCTTGACAGATGGAGGATTCATCGGAGTGCTCTACTACAGCGGTTGATGCTGCCGACTCGGACGATGCTGATGATCATTTTCTACAAAGTTTCCGGGAGACGGTCGAATCGTGGACATCGGATGGGAGGCTGCTACCAAGTTGTGGTGGTCTTGAGAAAGTAATATATAATAACACGACATTTTTGAAGTAGTCTCCTCTTGCAGGTTCTGGTAGTATCCTACGACAGAGCAACTGTAGGCCAAACTGGCAATGGACACTTCTCACCCATCGGAGCCTACCACGCCTCGACTGACTCCGTGTTAGTCCTGGACGTTGCTAGGTAGGTGGCGATGGAGTGGTATGTAGTTAATATTGGTATATGGGATTTCCAGACAGGGAATCATCCAAGAACCTATAATGTTCCCGGGGGGGAACTCATTTTGAATTTTCCACGTATGACTAGGAACACATTCTTCAATCGGTTTCCCATGTAAATGTCATCAGTATTTTCATTATTGTTATCAAACCCTAGGAAACGTTATTTCTCAAAGTTGAATGGTTCCCTGTTAGATTCAAATACCCGCCGCATTGGCTGAGCTTACCTAGGTTGGTGAAGGCTATGTACCCTGTGGACAAGTCTACTGGCAAGCCTAGGGGATATATAATGTTGGAGAAACTAAGAGTAATAATACTAGATAGAATCAATGTATACTTCAAATTTTCATACTTCATATATTGGAGTTTCACCACCCTAGTGATATGAATAGCACTAGTGAAAATGTGTTCCACGACTACTGCATATCGTGATTTTCACAGACTATTATGCCACTTCACGTAAAACGGATGAAACTTATACATATGGATATTATAAATTTACACTTTAATTCTTTGGGTAGTTATTACTAGTATCATTGTGTAGTGTCATCCATCGATTTTTCAGCCTGGCTCGCTCCCACCAGAGGCTGGTCCCAAGCTGTTAGCATTGGCATCTATACCGACTTCAGCGACTGTTGCGCTGACGAATGAATTCCATCGGGAGATGCAACGCCAATCTTCACAAGTCGATCTGGTTACGAGACGAGTTAACTTATCATCGGAGGAGTTCCTCATCGAACTTTTCCGGTGCTTCCTGAGGGCTGTGGCAGAGTTAGATTCACCCATAATGCGCGGTGTGTTCCTAGCTGTTGCTGAACAGAAGCGGTTGATTGATACCATCAGTTCATACTGGACACAGGATAAGGTTGAGGGAGAGTCCTGTACTGCAAAAAAAGCGTCGATCATTTGCGCGGCCCTGCATGCCTTCATCGAGGAGTGCTCACATCCTCCAGTAGCTCATCGACTCCCTCCTATGTTTGGTCCCCCGACAGAGGCATCAGACTCGATGGATGATAAAGTAATTGCAGCTGTATGGGTTGCAGTATTCTTCTGTTTACCTACGGAGTTGCTGACGATATATGATAATGATAAAACGTGGGAGTCATCACCTATGGAAAACCAGGTAGTGAATTCAAATCTCACATATGCGGACCGGAAAAAATTTCGAGGCCCATAAAATTTTTTCGACTCGGGAGAATGGAAGAAAAATTTTTTTTCCTTGGGAAAATGGAAATAAGTTTTTGAGGGGATTTTTTCGGAAAAAAAGTTCTTAAAATCTTGCTTGATGGTGACTTTGGCGATTACTCAGATACCGAGCCCGTCAGAGCTCTTCCTTTGTCTTAGTCAAGGCTCTGAGGATTTCGCTCTTATACGGGCCTTTATTACAACACTGCGGTCAAAATGCTGTCCGGGTGATAGAGAAATGGCTGATCATCTGGAAGGTGCATGCCATTGTAGAAAACCGAGACATGGGAGTAGTTGCTCTCACGCCTGATGATTTTTGCACAAATTGCCGTTCTATTGGACTGAAGACTTTTATCAAATCCTAATAAGGATCGATTAAGGTTGACTACGCCCGTTATCACAGCACTTCTGTGTTGCTCGATGGATGGTTTCTGTCGTGTTGGAGCTACTGATGAATGGTGAATACAGTGAAAGTTGTTGAATATGTTTGTATCATCGTCGGAGTTGACGCCGCTGGGCCAAGTAGTAGGAGCGGATCTACATGTCCTGTCGAGGATACAGTCTGCATTGCACCTCCATCGAAAACATGAGAAACACTATAGGAAAGAAAGTGCAGATGAAGAGCAGCAGGCATTGAGTGCAATGAAGTAGTATGGGAAATATCAGAGCTCGGGATATAACAAAAAACGATAAATTCATCGCTTCGCGTAAGGTTATAACGTGATGTTGGAATATATGTTCGCTTTCCTCAGCTGAGCTGTGGAGTTTCCTCATCATTATAGGGTTTTGAAAGTGAATTGGGGTAGAAGTGTACAGAAACCAATAAGAATTTCCTCAGAATTTTCACAGTGTCATTGACTATGTGCATATTTTTCCATCACTGATATTGTCTAGCAGTACTTGATGGGGACAGCATGTGTCCGAGTTTAACGATAGCAATGTGTTGTACATGTATCACTAATAGGGTGTTACGATGGTCACAGTTTGCTGATCAGGAAATCACCCAGAAAAATTATAATGTTCCCGGGGGAGAACTCATTTTGAATTTTCCAAGTAGGGCTAAGAACACATTCTTCAATCCGTTCCCCATGTAGATGTCATCATCACATTAGGAACATCATTTTCATAGGGCTAGTTCCTGTTGATGGGTTCCTGATGATCTTCTCTCGTAGGATTTCTATACCCCCGACCTCAGCAGCCTCAGTCGCTCTGCGGAGCTTTGTAGAGGGGACAGTTTGTGTTGGAACTGGCCTTGGCGTGGTATCTGTGATGTCCCTATTGATGGGCAAGAGGAGTAAGCTGAGACTGACCCAGATCTTACGAGCGATGCCGGTGAATGGGAGGAACGCTGTAGCCTTTGGGATGTTCATGGTAATAAGGAGCTCGTGAAGGCTTCGAAATATATATGGATCGGATTTCTCGGTTGAAGTGTTAGCATGTGTTTGATATTTGTATAGCACATCCATTGTGTTTAATGAGTATCACCCTGGTGAAAAACAGTAGTGAAAAATATATTCCATGGCTAGCGCATATCACCGCGAATATCGGGTTTTTCACAGAGTATTATGCCACTTTACGTGAAACGGGTGAAACTCCAATAATAGGTAATCATATGTGATAGGAATATGGTATGGCTGGAAATTACTATAAGTATAACATGAGTTGATAATAGAAACATTTGTTGTTACTAACCCTCCGAGATTCACAGATTGACTTAGCGCGTATTCCCGGAGTTTCCGACTGGGGATTCTTGTCAATCTTGGGCGAATGAATATTCTAATAACGGAAGATTATATATATGATAATGGAGTTTCACAATCCGTTTTACGTGAGGTGGCGTAAAACTCGGTGAAAAACGCGATATTCGCGGTGATATGCAGTAGTCGTGGAATATATTTTTCACTAGCGTTTTTCATATCACTAGGGTGGTGAAACTCCGTTATAATGAATGGATAATATTAAAAGCCTTTGACGCCAACATGCATCTTGCGACAACCGCGAGTGTCTCCTGGTGAGGTTCTATTTCGTTGAATAATTCTCCTGTACGGTCGTTGAGAGTGACTTACCCTCGTTGTTGGAAATATGGAAAAGTTCACCACGATCAAGGACTAGTGAGAAATATTTTTATGACAAAAATACCCAAAAAAATACCCAAAATTTCGTGCTGATCTCCATACTTTTGAACTCAGGCACTCTATAATGGTATGTTAGCTCGGTGCCGGCTTTCCTCACAACACCAGACTAGTAGATCGACTTCCTCCATTTTGGCATCGCCATTTTTCCGAGGTTTTGTATCTACTCTATGTGCTCTTCAATTGGCCGAAAGCAGCGGCCGTTATTTCATCATTTTGTTCGTCATATGCCGAGCAGTGGATGTTCTTACTGTTTTGGGGTATGTCAAATTGCCTTGTAAAGTACGTGTGGTTGTTGATATTATCTGTCTTGGCAGCCCAGCGACAACGGCTTCGGTAAGGGAGGGATAAGCGGTGGTGAAATATATGTTTGTTTTCTCCCCAGCTGAGTTTAGGTATTTTTTCATGGAAGTTTACATACGAATTTTGGTAGAAATGTATATGTAAACCAATAAGAATCTCCATTTTATGAGCAACACATGTAGCTTTCTCACAATGCATTTAGTGATAGCGATGATGATA